GTAATTTGGTTATCACTGGATTATTTTTAAAGGTCACAGTAAAAAGTGAAACGGTTTATTTGACATTTAAGAACAGGATAAAACAGAACTTGAGTCAATATGTCCAATGATGGGAATAGTTTAGATTCTACTTCAGTCAGTATGGCCAATAATGTGGTGAGAAAAACATGAAAAGAGAAAAAGGGCAAGGAAAGAAACCTAGAGATAGAGGGAGAAATTGACACCCACCCAGAGTCAAGAAAAACACACACCAATCCTGGGGAGAGGCTTACTGGATTAATTTTTTTTTTTTTTTTTAATAAACCTATTCTGTAACCCTGTCACAACTCTCCATCTGTGCTGTGGTCTTCAGAAATAACACTTTTAACTGCTACTCTTTAACAAAGGCTATTCTTCACAATTTATCAACTCTCTCTATCCTTCAAATTCTTATAGTGGTTACCACCGTTCAACAGAACTTTGATGATGAAACGTTCTCTATATGTGCTGTCTTGCTCAGTAGCAACTTGTAATTACCGAGCATTTGAAATGAGGACAGTGCAAAAAGGAATGTAAGTTATTATTTTACTTCATTTTAACTAAATAATGACGTGTGTATCTTATTGGATAGCGCAGGTCCAAGGGACATTTACAGTGGAAGGAAAATTGGTCTCAAGGCCACTGTAGAGATGAATAAGCACAGATGAAATTAAACCACAGAATGAATAAGCACTCTGTACTTAACCACTTCATTGGCTGTCATCTGCCTTCCTTAATCATTTGTTCAGTCCTCTAATTATGCTTTTCTTTTCCAGATGAAGAAAGATGCTCTCTTTGAGAGGGTATAAACAGAAAGTTGCTGGTAGGCATTGGGGCAAAAATATCAGCTTAAAGTGTACAGGAAACATCTATTTCCAAGACTCTAGGGCTTTGAGGAACAATGCTTCAGTACTTCATGCTGTCATTTTCATTAATACTAGCTATCAATCAGCAGTCTGGCTACTGTTTCAGCAATGTTCCGCATCATTTGATCACTTCTCTAAATCAATGCTTTAATTAATTTTCTTTGTATTTATTCACCCTCACTTCATTCAGTAGTAACAAGTCTCTTTCCCTGTTAGTAAGGAGTGGATAATACTGCTTCTTGGAAGAGCTGCATTTTGGACTTCATAATCATTTTCAAAACGGACAGTTCTGGACTGCGAATGAGTCACCTGCAAATCCTATCAGCGGCAGCTCCTGCAGGGGCTAGTCAGTCACTGAGGGCAACCCATCCTGGTCCGCAGTGCTTGTCGCACAGTGGGCTATCAATAAAGACTTGCTTTAGGAAGGAAAGCAAGCCAGTCACGTGTATGGGTGGGCAGTCTTCTAGAAATAAGTTGTGGACGAAGGGTCTCAAGATAACCTTTTGAATCTTTACCCAAGGACATGTCTCTGCTTATTATCAGATAGAGTGGGAGGGAGGGAGGGAGAGAGACGTCGACGTGATAGAGCCACATCGACTGGTTGCCTCCTGCGGGTCCGACCAGGGCCAGGAGGAACCGCAACTGAGGTTCGTGCCCTTGACCGGAATTGAACCTACACTCATTGGTCCGTGGGCGAAGCTCTAACCGCTGAGCCAAGCCCGCGGGGATACACCCTTCATCTTGACTAGTCTTGCAGTAGGATGATAATTTTAGCAGCATCTTCCCAAATAACTTGCCTTCACTGCAACCACTGAGGCAAGAGCTTCCCCTTCACACCCATGACTTCCACAGGCATCTGTCCTCTTTCCGCTCAGGAACAGTAACTGCCCACTGCCTGTGCTCCACAGGGCCCGAGGGCCGGCTGAGAGGCAGCGGAACTGAGGCCTCCACCCCCGGCCGCAGGGCTGGGGGCGGCTCCCCGTCCCACAGTCGCTAACAAGACTCCAGCCCGCCCCGCCCCCCCGCCCCCCCCAACACGCAGATGAACCCTTCGCCCCGACCGCGTCGCCAGCGGCCGGCTTCCGCTCGGCGCCTGGGGCCCAGGCCCGCTTCCGCGTTGGCGAGTGGCGTGGGCCGTGACGCCACCGCGCCCTGACGTCAGGCCGACGTTCAGCACGGTCTCCCAGGAGACCGGGGAAGCCGTTTCGCACCCAGCGGCGCCCAGGGCTAGGTGAGAAACAACGAATGGCTTCCTTGAGCCGCGGGGTGACCCGGTCCCCGGGACGCAGTTCCGGAGCGGAGGCGTGCTGGCCCCCGGGAGAGGGCCGGAAAGCCCAGCCGCGCTCCCGGCGAGGGGGTGGGCCCCGCGCCTCGCCGCCGCTCTCCTCTGCGTCCGCTGCCCGGTGCCCGCGAGCCCGCTGTTCCCCGCAGTGCGCGGCTGGGCCCGCCGCACCCTCCCTGCTTCCTGCCCCGGCAGGTCCCGAGGGAGCGGGGTTAGAAAGGGACAGATTTCCAAACCCTCCCAGCAGTTTTGGCTGGCCTTGTAGTTGGTTTCTATTAGCAACATCTCGCCGCTTCAGGAAAGTCCCAGGACAGAACTCCCGCTTCACCTGACCCTGACCTGCTCGTTTGTGGGTGATTTACGCCAGGGGGATAGTTCTTTATGGAAGGGCCTGAAAGCTGAACGGGAGTTAATGGCTCGACGTGACACTGGTGTGCGGAAGGGAATCGGAAGTGAACAATCAAGAACATTTCTGTGTTTTTGACATTTTCTTCGTGACCCTGTTAGAGGGAAAGCAGGTTCAGAAATACTTACGTAGCTGCTGCCAGTTATCGCCGCAGCTCTTGCCGATGGGCAGTCTACACGGGTGTGATGTGAAAGAATAAAAGGGACTCATTTGATAAAATACCCAAAATAATGTAAGGGTCACTTAAAATGAAAACATTTCCCAGTTGCCAAAAGGGAAAGAGACTTTTCTTCCCCTCCCATTAAGAAACCTCCTATTTGTGAATGCTCTATCTAGTCCTTTAATATGTATGCAAAGCTTTTTAAGACCCAGAATGTTTTTCTGAAAGCCATTTCTTTAAAATGTAAATATCAAGGAAGATAGCACCCTTATTTCCATATTTCCTTGGGAGTTTTAGTTTAGCTTGGGTGTCTTCTAGCAACCACCTACTTTGTCATAGAGACTTGCATTCCTTAGAATGAACACAATTAGCTAGCATAGATGGCTACTTGGATTACCAGGTGATTTAAAGCGAACAACAAAAGAGTGTATATAGCAAGCTGTATTGAGGACAAGTTGCCATTTAGCTTGAGTACATGTGTGTAATGAATTGTATCTGCCTGGCTGTATAAAAAGTGAGATTTCTTTCTATCTCTAATTAATCTCATTAGCAGATTGATTGTGATGTGTCTCACAGTCTAATTAAATGCATATTCAATAATAAAATAGCTCTCTTTCTGCTATAGAGAGATTTTCTGGATTGGCAGGATATTTTATTTTAAAAAGTTCCTCAATAATTAATTAGAACCTGCCAATCCTTCTCCCTTGGTAGAGTAAGACCACAAAGTTGGAATAGATTTACAGACAATGAAGGTTCTAAAAAACTGTCCCACTGGCTTTGTTTATACCCTCAAATTATTTTGTGGATGGAATTTTAAAAGGAGATTTAGTTGTTGATTTAGGAGGAATTCTCCCAATAGATTTTAATTAAGCTGATGCCATCTTATTTTACTGTTGGTGAGTCCATTGTAAAATGGCAGAAATGAGAATAATGAGCCTTCTATGAATAATGAATTTTTGTCACTTCGTGGTTACAGTCCACCAAACATCAGATTATTATGTGCGCCTATATTAACTATGCCAGTTAACTTTACCCCCATAGTTAGCTGCAGTTAAGTTTACCAAACATACACACACATATTACATTTATATGGGAAGACAAATTGTTAGTTATTTCCTGTAAACAGCAGCTGATTAAAATAAGGGGCTTTGTAGTAACAGGATGGGGCTGGAATCCTCTCTTCTACCAATGGTTGCATAATTAAAAAAAAAAAATACTTCCAGTACAAGAATTTTTGTTACCTATAGTTTCCCTGCTACCTTGACAAGGCTGGGGCTGGTGTCTCTGATAGAATACTATGCCTCCCCTATCTCTCTTTGTCAGAAATGCTACCCTGATCAAAAGCAAGCAACCTCAGGAAGCCTTCCCTAATACTCCACTCCTAGATTGTTCCTTGTCTACAACTTTTGACCCTTAGGCATTCTTCCTGCTGTGGAATTGGGCCTATATCATCTTACTCTTTTGCCCCTCACTCCTTGGGTATATATAAACATCTCTCACTCATGAAACTGGATTGTCTATCCTTTCTCCATATTTGGGAAAGATAAAAAACAAACAAACAAACAAACAAAAAACAAATCCAAAGTGCCCCTCCATTAATCCTATGTGGTTTTATGAAAGTAGTGATAAAGTTTTATAATGAATTGTTTTATTATAAAATGAAAATCTATTAAAAGTAAAATATCAATATAAAAACAATAAAAACGTTCATTTATAGGTAAAATTGGCAATTGGCTTCTCATACTTTGATGACTCTTCTGTTCCAGGCCTGCATATCATATTTAATCTGATAATGGAATATTTTTTCTATTCATCATCATTTAAACCAGCATTCATGTCACAATGGCTTTTCTTGTCTGCTGAACTAAAATACCATATTTAGACATTTTTCTAGTAGCTTTTCAGAAAAACAGCTTAAAAAAAAAACTGAAATAAATGGTTCTGTTTAAAATTTCACGATCCTTATTTTGTATTTGCAAAACAGTAGTAAACCACCACAGAAATTACAATTGTACTATTAATTTCCAAAGAATGAAAATTTTTGTGGCTACTATCAGTAGTCTCTCTCTATAGGTCTTTCCTGTTCTATTGACCTAAGAACTGATTCAGAAAACCCCACTTGTACCATTTAACACTGAGTTGATGAAATAAACATCTGTTGAAATAGTTACCACCATTTCTCTTAAAATACTCCCAGTAATTTCTCTCTCTCAATTTGAAAAATTTTCACATTATTTCAGTTCTGACTATTGCCATCAATATTTTTAGATTGTTTTACTTCAGACCTCCCTCAGTTTTTCTTGGGAAATTATGGATCGTCACATTCCCATGCATGCCTTACCCGAAGAAATCCAAAAGGTATGATATTATATTGTGTTATTATGACATAACATTAGAAACATTTTGACAGTTAGATAATTCTAAAACCTTGGGGAGTGAATTCAGAGGTTTTGTATTTATTTTGGTTAGGGCATCTGTAATAAATTGAGGGGGGAAGGGAATAATCCTAATGGTCAGAACTGTGGAATTCAATTCAGTGTAGAGTGTTTGACTTGTGAAAGAAGACAGATATACAATTCCAGCACAGTATTTGACCAGGTGTTTGTGGAGCCCTTGGGAAAAGAGGGCCCCAGGAATGTCCCAATAGTGTATGTAGATATTTTTCTAGCTGCTTTACAGGAAAAAAAAGTTTTTCTAAAAATAAATAAATAAATGGGTCTATTTAACATTTTAAGTGATCTTTATTCTATATTTGCAAAACAAATAATTAGTAAACCACAGAAATTACAATTAGTTTGTAGCTTTTTATGATGCTAAATTTTTAAGTCTCTTTCTCTCTAAGGGTCTATGTCAGTTTCAGGCACTGTTTTAAGCCCTTTCACATATATCAACTCATGTAATCTAGTTAAATTCTTCAGAATTTCCATGTGCTCTCCTCCCCGGTTAGTTCATATCTGTCCTCAGGCAAATGCATTTCTCCCACATTTAGTTTGGCAATGCATACATTGTTAACAGTATAATTAAAAAAAAACTTTTTGAAACTGATTGACAAAATATGAATTAAAACCTCAGACCTTACCCATCATTAATCATTCAGGTTTTTCAGCAAATCTACAGTCAACTCTTAACCACCAATCTGTTACTTTTAATTAAAACTTGCAGTCAGCTCTCAGATATGCTTTTATCCTTTGTTCATGTTGCTTTGGGCTTCCTGTTAGCATTAACCATGCCATTGATTTAACTTGATGCTTACTGTTACTGCATGTTCTTCAGATTTATGTAAACTGCAACCTAGCAGGAACTGGAAGGGAAGTCCAATTACCGGAAAAGACCTTTTCAACCACTGCATTTAATTTGCTTCACCTTTTGAGTTAGGCATAAGAGATAGAAAGCACAGAGAGAGCTCAGCTATGCTATGCTTATCTGAGAAATGGTGCTTTTATATGTTAGTAGACATGAAATGTCCTTCTTCTCTCCCTCAACTGAATTTCTTCCATATTCTACCCTGTGTAGTAGAGATTAAAAGAAACAAAACAAAACCATATGCAAGAAGCAATACCCTTACTTCAGATTCTAGTCATCTGTCAGAAAGAAGATATATAATGACATGGAAAAATAACTGTAAAAGACAGTGTGTATGATTTAAATGTCATATATGATGGTAGCTTCTCTGAGAAAGGAGAAGGTAGGGAGGGGAATCCCCAAGTATTGGGATAGTCAAGGGAGGAGATTTAGGAAGGAGGTAGAACTGGGATTGGCCTTTGAAGGCCAAGTATTTCCATAGGCACATAGGTGATAGAGTGTGCTTGGCCGAGGAAACAGAAGCTTACTGGTGAGAAAAAGCTGGCTAATTGGAGAATGTTTAACAACGTAATATTTTGAATATCTGAGATAATATATTTATTTTGACAAGGTTTTTATGAATTGTAGAATGTTTTTTCTCATGTTTAAGGTCCTTTATAAGTAAATTGTTTAAAAATGCTAAAACCAAGCATTTCATAAATCTGTAGTTATATTCTCAAAGCAGGAATGGCAAGCAGCTGTCCATACAGTGCTGAGAAGTGGATTGTCCAGGAGAAGCGCAGCTGTCTAAGGCCCTGGACAAGTATTCTGATTGTACCCTTTGTCCTGCTGAATGTTTAGAATATAAAGTGCAGCTTTGAACTTTTTCAGAACTAAGTTAGATACATTTCTACAACAGATATTCACCCAATACCTATTTGTGCCAGACATTGTTCTGGGTACTTGAGTATAAATCAACCAAAATGTGTAAATGCACCCTACAGCCTATTAAAGCACAGTCTAAGAATAAGTCAGTCATTTGGTTTACATAACTTCTTACCTATGTTTGATTCATCTAGATTGTCTGTAATGCACTTGTCCAATTACCTAGTGATCAGGCAGTATGGCATGTCTATGTAGTCAACTTGCATATATCATTCTATACAGAATCATGTTAAATACATACAGGGTGGGACAAAAGTATGTTTGTATGGAAAACAATACAATAATAAATAATACAAGAATAAACTGTATTTTGCATTCTCACAACTGTAAACCTACTTTTGCCTATATAGCTTATAATGGTGGTAGGAATACTTTGGATTGTAATTATTTAATAATACTTTATTATCCCCCTGGCTAGTTTAGCTTAGCGGTGAGAGCATCTGCTTGTGGACCAAAGGATCACGGTTTTGATTCTTGGTCAAGGGCATGTGCCTGGGTTGCAGGTTCTTCCCAGGCCAGTGAGAGGCAACCAATCGCTGTGGCTTTCTCACATCAATGTTTCTCTTTCTCTCTCCCTCCCTCCCATTCTATCTAGAATGAATGAATAAATAAATAAATAAATAAATAAATAAATGGAAAACTATCCTTTGTTGAGGATTAACAACAACAAAATAATGATTATTAAAATGAGGAAAACAGATCTTTTTTTCCCCCCATAATGGCTTAGAAATTGTTCTTTATTTTATTTATTTTTATCCTCAACAGAGGGCATTTTTGCATTTATCTTCAGATAGAGCAGGAGAGAGAGGGGAAGAGAGAGAGAGCAACATCGATGTGTCTCTTGACTGACTGCCACACAATCCCAACATGGTCCGGGGACAAACTGCAACTGAGGTACATGTCCTTAGCGAACTGGGTCTCTCTGGTCCGTGGGCCAACGCTCTAACCACGGAGCCAAACTGGCCAGGGCTGTTCTCCATTTCTTTATTGGGTAGAAAAGGGCATAAGGTGCGTAGATCAGTGCCCCCCATCCCCCTTGTTCTTCTGTTTCTTTGTTTGTGTTAGTTTTTATGCTTACTCTTCTTTCCAGAGAAGCTCTTGCTGGCCCCCCCATCGCCTGCCCCCCGATAGGAAAGGAAGATTAGTGCAGAAATCAGGGAAGAGAAGGTGAGGGGAGCCCTTCCTCTTTATTCTCTCCATATTTTTGCTATGTGATATAGAAATGGGATGGCTCATAACTTACATGAAAGGTACTTGATAAAGGACATGAAAATGACTATATAGTCGCCCCTCATTTATCATGGTTTATCTGTTCCAGACTCTGCACCTGCATTGAAGGATTCCTGGGGTGCTTGAATACACAGGCCTACAGTCCATACATACAGTAATTTTAATTTTAATTGTAATATAGGGGTTTATAATTGACCCAGACAACCGAGCGTGTGCTGTATCATTTTCACAGTCTCGATCAACTTTTTAATGAATGTATTTGAAAAAACCGCGGTAGAGTGAAGCCGCGAACGTCAAAGCGCGAAGTGAGGAGGGACGACTGTACTACATTGTGCTATTAATAGCAAAATAGGTAGTAGTAGAAAAGTTGCAGGAAAAAATAGAGGTGGTGGGCAGATGGCCACAAAAGGAAAGTATAGAGAAGAGTGCTGATGATAATTGGCTATGAGAGAATCCATCACCTGACTAGAAGGCTAAAATTGTTAAATCAGCTATTCCCTGGTCTCATCTTTTTAGGGAATCTTGGGGAAGAGAGAATAAGATCATCTTTTGAATTTCATTCCTAGATTTTTTTGCTTTTTATCACAATTTCTGACTGAACATAAAATACGTCTGAGACTTCCGTCTCCTCAAGTGGCACAGAATGTAAAACAGGCCCATGGGCTGGACAGCAAGACCACACTCATCCCTTTTGTCTGCTTCTAGACTCTACAGTTTACTTCTATATGTACTTAGATCATATATGTACTAAAGATCATATCTTTAAATCTGTTCTCCTTCTTGATTGAGCTGACTCATACCTGACTCTGGCTTCTGAAAACCAGCAGCTAGAATTTTCATCCAACTGTCTGAAAGCAGAATGTACTTGTACTGATAGGATAGCTCTGTGTTTAGGATTTTGTTGTCACAGTTTAAAATCAAAACACTTATAGATCAGCAAAGTAATAATTCTATATTTTTTCCCCTCCTGAATGTCTACCTATTTTTGAGACATTTGGACTTTCTCTTTTTAGAAAAAAAGCAATGAAAAACTTTTCTTTTGTTGTTTTTGCTTGGGGACATACACAGAAATTACAACTACAAGTGAGTAGAAAAATCAGTTATTTTGCAAAAGTAAACTCTCTTTTTCTAAATGGTGACAAAATGAACACTTGTAATAGAATTTTAGCTTCAGGGAAGATATTTATTACCAGGGGACACAAAGTAAAATAAAGAGACTGGAGTTGTTTATTTCATGAAGCAGAAGTGGTGGTGCAGGGGTTGGAGAGCACACTGTTCTTTCTGGGATAACAGCCCCTTTCTCTAGCAGTAACAGCTCATTTTGTCCTGTTTCAGTATAGTAATTTTAGTACTTTGAAACTTTGAAATTTATTCAGAATAACAGTTTTATATTTCCAAGCACAGATTGTCATGCCAGAAAAAATAAACTTAATTTTCCAGGTCATTTTGGGCCACTGTGGCTAGGGTCAGATTTTGTGTTGAGTTAAAGAGGAAAAAAAAAAAGAGAAAATGATCATAGAAATGTTAACATTATTATCCTGAAAAAGTAATGATATGTGTATGTGTGTGTCGGTATGTATGTTGTGTTTTTAAGCAATTGTGGTTTTATAACTTAATGACAGAATAAAACAAAAACAAACAAAGAAAACACCTAATGACAGAAGGAGAAGGAAGCTGTGTAATTCTTGGAGAGACTATTTGTTATCTAAGATAGTTCATTAGGAAAAACAGTTTAAAAAAAAAATGTTAACTATGAATCTTGAAAAAACCTGCATTTGTGAATTTGTCCAAAATATTTTGCTGGCTAGCAATAGAGGGTCATAGAGTTTACTAAGGAGGGGTTTCCCAGTGGAAAAGTAGATATTGGAGGAAATATACTTTGGAAGTATGTGTAGGTAAAC